AGAAGCTGTATGCCAAATTTTCCAAGTGTGAATTCTGGTTGCAGGAAGTTCAGTTTCTGGGCCATGTAGTAAATAAGAGAGGAATTCAGGTGGATCCTGCCAAAATTGAGGCTATTAGAAATTGTAAAGCCCCAAGAACCCCTACAGAGATCCGCCAGTTTTTTGGGTTAGCAGGCTATTACCGGCGATTCATCGCTAATTTTTCAAAAATTGCACAGCTGCTCACTGCTTTAACCCAAAAGGATAAGAGGTTCATTTGGAGTGAGAAGCAAGAGGAAGCCTTCGAAACTCTCAAACAGAAGATGTGCAATGCACCCATCTTATCGCTACCTGAGGGTTCAGAAAACTTCGTAGTCTTTTGTSATGCWTCRCATCAAGGGTTAGGTTGTGTATTGATGCAGAAAGATAAAGTCATTGCCTATGCCTCGAGACAACTGAAAGTGCATGAAAAGAACTATACTACTCACGACCTTGAGTTGGGAGCAGTGGTATTTGCACTTAAAATATGGAGGCACTATCTCTATGGCACAAATTGCACCATCTACACTGATCATAAAAGCCTTCAACACATCCTCAATCAGAAAATGTTGAATATGAGGCAAAAAAGATGGGTTGAATTACTCAGTGATTATGACTGTAAGATCAAATACCATCCAGGCAAAGCCAATGTTGTGGCCGATGATTTAAGTCGAAAGGAAAGAATAAAGCCAGTAAGGGTGCGAGCTTTGGGAATCTTGGTGAATACCAGTTTGAAGACCCAAATTCTGGAGGATCAAAAAGAAGCTCTAAGGAAGGAGAACTTGAAGAATGAAATTTTGCATGGCATAGAGTCCAAATTTCAGATGAAGTCTGATGGAGCGTATTAGAGCATACTACTGGTGGCTTGGAATGAAGAAAGACATTGCACTGTATGTAAGTAAGTGYTTAACTTGTGCAATAGTTAAGGCCGAACACCATAAACCTTCAGGTCTGCTCCAGCAGCCCGAAATTCCTCAATGGAAATGGGAGCAGATATCGATGGACTTCATAACTAAGTTACCCCGATCAGGTAAGAGGCATGATGGTATTTGGGTGATTGTAGATCGATTAACAAAATCTGCTCATTTCTTGCCAATTCGAGAAGACTATAAGATGGAAAAGCTAGCTCAGATATATATAAACGAAATCATCGTTAGACATGGGGTGCCTACTTCCATTCTTTCAGATAGAGACAGCCGTTTTACGTCAAGGTTCTGGCAGTCGCAACAGCAAGGAATGGGTACTCGTCTGGACTTAAGCACTTCTTATCACCCCCAGACAGATGGACAAACCGAAAGAACAATCCAAACCCTGGAAGACATGTTGCGAGCCTGTGTTATAGATTTTGGTGGAAGTTGGGACACACATCTTCCATTAGTAGAATTTGCTTACAATAACAGCTACCATACCAACATACAATGTGCGCCTTATGAAGCTTTGTATGGGCGCAAGTGCAGATCTCCATTGTGTTGGTCAGAAATTGGCGATAAACAGTTAACTGGACCCGACATTATCCAAGAGACCACTGATAAGATTGTAGTAATCAGAAATCGACTCAAGGCTGCAAGGGATCGTCAGAAAAGCTATGCTGAAAATCGGAGGAGACCTTTAGAATTCCAGAAAGGCGACAAAGTTTTCTTAAGGGTCTCACCATGGAAAGGAGTGATGCGTTTTGGAAAGAGAGGCAAACTGGGCCCTCGTTATATTGGCCCTTTTGAAATAGCAGAAAGGATTGGACCAGTGGCATATAAGCTAGATTTGCCCCCGGAGTTATGCACTATACATGATACATTCCATGTATCGAATCTCAAAAGATGCCTATCAGATGAAACTCAAGTAATGCCACTAGAAGACGTGCAGGTTAGCGATCAATTGCATTTCGTTGAAAAACCCATAGAAATCATGGATAGAGAAGTTAAGCAGTTGAGGCGTAGCAGGATCCCTATAGTAAAAGTTCATTGGAACTCGAAGTATGGACCGGAGTACACGTTGGAAAGGGAAGACTTTATGAAAAGCAAATATCCCCACTTGTTCTCAAAGCCAACCATTATTTGAATTCGACGATTAAATTTCGGGACGAAATTTTTCTGGCTTGGGGAGACTGTGACAATCCTGCATTTTAAGATTTCAGGTTAGTACCTTATTTCAGGATCTTTATTGAAAACTAAGTCTTTCTAGGATTTAGCTTCGATGATTAGAGATCATCTTGCTTAACTCCCAAGATTAGTTTGTTAGATCACGTTTCGGTGGGTAGCTAACCAACTTAGTTTATACAATGCCAAATAGTCTTGAAATGTTTCATTTAAATAAAGTCGATATTTAAGTTCCATTCTTTTTATATTTAGTTGCCAATTAATTTAAAAGGGTGGAGTTTTTAAAATCTTTTGTCAATTTAATTTGCTTGGTTAAATTAGTGGGGTTTTATTATTTAAAAAAAAAATATCTTGGGCTTGGGCCTTTAGAGGCCAGCCCATTTCTTCTCAAAAAGCCCCATATAAATACCCCTCTTCTTTTGGAAAATCTTCATTCTCCAAATTTCCAGCTTTCTGTTTTCTCTCTAACGCTATCACCTTCCAGCCGGTTCCAATTTTATTGCAAAACTCCAAGGTTTTGCTGTTCTTAAGAACTTGTTCGAAAGCTTCTGTTTAGAGAAGGTATGCTTTAGAGCTATTCTATTATCTTAATAGTCTGAAAGTTTTTATCCTTCTCCCTTCTCCATTCTTTAAGTAAAATTTATGGGATTTAAAGAGGAGAGATTATTCATCAAAGACCTGCATATGTCTTCGTTGAGATGATAATCTGTGACCTATGTTCTTTAATCTCTAAGAAGAAGGAGAAAATCTTTATATGTGAGGTCTAATCATATTTTCGGGTGATAGGCCTTGCATGTATCTTTAAATCGGATTTCTCATCTTGTAAACTCGTTGGAATCGGAAATTATTGGTCTTCTGGAGTTAGTTCAAAGATGATGATTTTGTGTTAGAGTTTAAACTCTTGAAAATATTGAGCTGAGACCCCTCCCYATCATTGCTACCATTCTTGGTGCATGCAATCGGTGTTGGAGGCGTGTGGCTCAAGGTTGTAGAGTTCTTGGAAAGAGTTTTAAACCCACTCAAAATATMTTKATTTTGGTAATTGGCGGCTGTCATCATTGTTTTGGGATGACTTTTGATGATGTCATTAAGTGGTTTTTGGAAGGTTCCTTTTTAATAAATAATTAAATCGGCTTTATTTTATGAAAACACTTGATGGCTTGGTGTTGAAAACAACTGTGCTCTACCTTAGGCAAGAAACTGTTAAGTAATATAGCGCTGGTTTGGTCTGTCAGGAAGTTCGAGCGAGTCTAGGAAGCTTCGAAAGGAAACCTTTGGATATTCATCAAACCAGTGAGTTCTTACGGCCCCACTTTTAATGTTTTTTTTTATATTTTCTGGGGGAAAATCATGATATTGAGCAAACTTTGCATGTTTATATACTGAAATATTGGAACTAAAGAACTGTTTAGTCGATGCTTTGCTTGGAACCTCTTGGGCTAAGGAACTGCTTAGTCAAGTTTTACTTGGAACCTCTTGGGCTAAGGAACTGCTTAGTCGGGTTCGTTATGTTTCGCTTTTGATAACTGTTTTTGCATTTAGAATAAATGCTAAATTGATGCGCTTGAGAGTATATGTTTCCAAATTAAAGTCCCCGTCCGTACACGCTACTTGTTAACTCGGGTACATTC